CTTTAGAGGAAACAGGCCATTGAATCGAAGTAGTCATCATCAAAGAATGTAAAATCTTGAACCCATTCAAAATGTTGAGTTTGCATCCAGTGAACATCTGCGATATGCTTCTTTAGATAACGCTGAGAGCTTCTCTTGTTGAATAGCAAGCACTTGCTTAAAATTAGTTGTCAGCTTAAAACAACAATGCAAAAGCCACATCTTGGTGAGATTCAAATGCGGTCAAGAAGCTTTTATTTTGTTGTATTAGCTAAAAGGGGAAAAAATCCAAAAATAGACAGCAGGGAGAGATACAAAAAAAAGTCTCGTTAGAGAACGCGCAAGCGCGGCAATAGGTGTGACCAGCCATTTTCGAGCTGTAGCCGCACATTCTCGGTGAGGAGGAGGGAAAAGAAAGACCCTTCGCGTCCGCCTCTGCTTAACAGGTTCATCAGCAGGGAGAAAAACTTCGCAAATAAAAAAGACAGATTTGGAATCGGGGCTCCATGAGCTGTTAGTGAAAAAAATAGACTTTCCATGCAAAACATGTGAATGGAGCTTTTCGGCAAAGACATCTAACAATTTCCAAACTGCTCACAAAAAATGGGTTCAAGACGTCGCTGAGCCACTAAACAAGAGCGAACTAGCAATATTCTTGCACAAGCAAAAATAAAATTTTCAATTACAAATATTACCCATAGCGTAATTATATCAGTAGTAGTTTTTCGTTTGCACATCACACAACATTTTAGGTGCAAGAAATTTGATTCATTCCGAAAATAAGCAAACAGCCACCTGTCACAAGATGGAAAAAAAATCATAAAGAGCAGAATAATTTGTGTTTTATGGTTGCGGCAATAAATCAAAAGCAAAAAGCGACAACTAATAGTATCAAAATTTCAAATTGTTTGCAACGAAAAGAAAGATAGTAGTGAGCCTTTAGACAAGTAACAACTCAATGACTTGCGATGAGATATTATCAAGAAACGAATTTGCTTATATATGCGTAGCTTCAGAAGACTGTAATGATATGAACAAATTATGTACTAGTGCGCATTGCAAAACTGTGCTTCATAAGTGAGCTACTTTAATGTGGTAAGGGCGATTCAAATATGCGTAAGTTATATTATTTTTGAATTTGGGTATATAATAATAACTAATGATACTGCGTGCTGTGCTTCTTTTGCACATGGAAAGATTAAAATGAATGTAGGCCATAGATCGTTGATCGAAAATTCAACAACAAATAAGCTTACAGCCATTACCAGAATCCTTTTCAAATTATCTATCCACTAACAAGCAGAGTTTTAATTGGATATAGGGCTGAATTATTTGGTGAGCAAGAGAGAGAGAAAAATAGTAACAATTGAACTGCATGATTTACTAAAAGATGCAGTTATGAAATCACTCTAATCCCTTTCTAAAATCTCTTGCAGAAATTTATAGAATAATGCCTTGAACTGACATATGTTGGTGCCCTTCTTAGACCTGCATCAGCGATAAGGCGCCGATGTTTCCACTTTTCTCTATTATGCGCCAAAAATGCAACATTGCCAAATGAATGTCTTGAAGCAGTAACGCCTTGTTTACTTGATAATCCTCCCCTACTTCGCTAAAGAAGTGCTACGTAGTTCCATTAACTCGCACCTTCCTTGAAGCTCATTATTGATTGGTGATATAAAAACTAAAGGGTTGAAAAATTAGGTGGTAATGAAAAAAATATTGAAATACACTTCAATTTTACAAAGTGAGCATAGTAGAAACTATCTTCCATTGAAACGTCCATATAAATATGATTAAATACATATCCAAAACTTAGGCTGGTGCAGGTGGAGCACAATCATCCCTCCTCGATCCTCTTGGCATTTTCAATTTGGCCGGAGTAACTAATGCACAGGTAGAGAAAGAACTTACGAAGAGAATTTTGAGCTGAGTTTTGTGAATACTTTGTTTTAGGGAACATCGCTTACCCAAGTAGCGCAGACTCCTTCTGGCTACAACCTGCAAACAAACCCACTCTCACCAACACCTGCCAATCAGCAACCTCTACAGAACGTGCAACAGGGACAGCAGAGTTTGCCATCGCTTTACTACAATCAAGCACATCAACAACAGAATCCAAACGTTCAACCAAATGTCCAGCAGCCACAACCAAACAACAATCAAGGCCAACAGCAACAATACCAAGTGTATCAGAATGTGCAACAGACTGCATATCGCCCACAAAACATTCCACAATCACAAACAGCGCCACAGCAGGTTTACAAAAAGTTTAACTTGCTCTGAATATCAGCAGTTCTAACTAACATCTAGGTGAATGGACCTCAGCGGTATCAAACTAATCAAGCGCCATTTTCACAGCAGTACACGCAAAATCAGGTTGATAATTTATTAATGAATTAAAGTTGATTAGCAATGGATTTTAAGATAGTAAATGTTCCCCAAAGGTCGCAGAACATCGATATGGCGCCCATAAACGTACAAAAATACGTTGATGGTAAAGGACATGCACCACCAACACTATCACAACAGGTAAGGATCTATACAATACTCATTTGCATAGTGAGAAACTAAAAAAACCACCTTCTTC